CTTTACGACGAAGAAGACGCAATCCAAACCCAACTTAACTTTAATGTTAACGTGCTACGCGAGATCAAAGATTTAATATCACGGCATGCAAAAGCTCACGTTGCCTTTTTATACTAATAAGAGACAGCGACATGGAAAATTTCTCATTTATTTGTGTTAAGCAAGGAAATATCAACCACAACACATAATATCAATAATCATAATGTCTTTTAGTCTTTTACACTAATTAAAGATGTTCCCCAAAAGCTGGTACTTTGATTATTTTGTTTCTTGATCATCTTGTGTGATGTTAATATATACATAAAAACAGAAGATTTGGTGATCACATATTATTAATCGTAATTTTACCTCAGAGACGCATATATAAGTGATTTAATCGTAAAATTCAATATATTTATTAATTTGCAAAAGCTTTTAATGTGCCAGTTAGACTAAGAAACATATTCACATCTGTTCATACAAAATAAATTTCTGCATATTATTAATATTTTATAATTATTCCCAGAATAAGATAAATACATAAATTTAATTATTTCACTCTTTTTTACGCCATTTACGAGCATGATTATCTTCGTAGTGTTTCATGAAAGTGTAATCATTTGAGAAAGTTGCACCGCATTTAGGACAGTTAATTGTTTCATCACTTTCTGATGATGATGATTCCGAGGATTTCTAATCATGAAATACATGAACTTATAACAAAAATAACAAAAATTAATAAATTATAACATAGAAAGTAATAAAGCTTACCTGTGAAATTGCATCATCAATTTTCTCTACTTCAAGTGTGAATCCTGGCAAAACATTGCCACCATTTACATTATTCCAGCCATGTGAAGTTCGATAAACAACCCTATTAGCCCTCCGTCTGTAAATATATATCTGCTTATTTTGTGGGTCCACTAACCAACCAAGTTCAACTGACAAGTCCATTTTAAAGCGAATTTCTGATCTAAATCATTGAATTCTTGATATCCTTCTTGAACAACTATGACTTCTGCAACACACGTAGGTGTAAATGGCTGACCTTTGAAGGTCAATTGTTGACAATGATCAAGTAACCGATACCGATAAGTGTTCTTCGACGTATAGGCAACATCTAGTGCCAGAATCGTACGCTGACCAGAAATATTGAAATCAAAGCCACCTCAAGAGGTAGTGACAATTCCATTTTGACGTGTTTTCACGTTCCAATTGTCAAGTTGGCAAAAGATCTTATCAGCAACGGCCCTCTTACTTATCGGATTTTGGGGCATTGGAAGGGTTGAACTAAAATAAATCCACTGGGGTCTCATTGGTCTCCAATGTGCATGACTTTACATTAATTAATTCGAATTTTTCAAACGTATAGGTACGATTGAAGTACAAGTTGTCAGATCTATTTTGTGGTCGATGGCTTTAAATTTTTAGAAGAGATTTTATATTACACTACAAATATACCATGGAGTATTCCAAGGTCTTTCAAATCCAGATTATACCCTTGAGTTCGAGATAACTGAGGTAAGTGATTAAGACATGGGAAAGAATTAAAAGAAGTTCAAGTTATTTGCGTAATCTGATAAAGTAGTTCAGATATTGCATACCACAACTCTAACA